AATAATGATGATTAAACAATTGTTTATTATTTGATGAAATAATATTTATGAATGACGAAAACACAATTTAACCAAACAAATAATATTCAATATGAAAAAATGATTTTTTTTTCTCTGGGGCGCCATAATTGTTTTGGTACACCATCATATCAAGGAGATCGAAAACTATCGAAAAAGGAAATAAAAAATCCAGGTCCGTATTTAGAAAGTTGATGATGGGCTCGAAGGAGAAACGTCGAATTTCCAATTTGGCAATTCCATTTTGTAGAGGAGGAAAATAATTGAAATTTTTACAATTTCAAAGCAGCATTTTGTTAAGCACGAAATGGTGCAACTCTGTCCTAACTTGACATATTCTGTATCTCTTAACGTTACCGATATCACCATGCTTAGCCACGAATTAGTAACACCCTGTATGAACTCTTTTTCATATTTTGACTCAAAAAATCTGCCCTTAAAAGGACCCCGCACCGCATCAATGGGAAATTGGCTTTCGGTGAATTTACTCGAATTTTTGATATATTGTAGAACTCGTGGTGCTGATCAAATGTCTCCATTGCACCAACGCTCTGAAATCAACAGTTACGATTATATAGGGTGATAAAGTTGACTTTTCCAGAATTTTAGATAGTAATTGTGAATACACCTTTCATAATTTCGAAACCAAATCAACTGTGCATTGATTGTTCGAATGACCGATACGAATCTACTATAAAGTATAATGATTCCTGCACGTACCAACAATATACAGGGTTGGTCGGAACATGGCGAATAATTCAGTGATTTTCGGAAAAGTGTGCGGTGGAATCTCATTTAAATTCTGTAGTATACAAATATCATCCCCATTTCGTGATATTTAGCATCTCCTAATCAGACATATTATATACAAGATGTTTTATTTTTGATAAAGTCACATCCATGTTAGGTAACTATTATTGGCATCCTCATTATGACTTACAACTTGAACAACCTATTGGGAATCTCGTTCATTCCATGATGAATGTTCACCCTACAAATACTTGAAATATACGGAGTGGACGAAAAGTCAATGGTCTTTGCTAATAATTTCTCAAGAGTAGTATGTGCAGATTCTTTTGGCCCATTCTATTGACCCTGTTTCATAACGACATTATATTCAATGAAAATGATTTGAACCATTCGATGTAGTATATTTTTGATAATATGCAGGTATCATAGGTTTTTCAGGTGATAGTGAAACAATCAACAATAGGAAACAAGAACAATGAATATACAGTTATTATGGATAACAAAATATTCTGATATTCAAACACAACTAAAGTTCTGTACCTTACATAGTATTTCACTTCCGTGTTATGACAAGCGATTATATTTCCTCGATCACTAATTCATAAAACGAATTCGTTTCACGAAATGAAAAAGTTGAATTTATTCAACTTCTTGAACAGTCTCCTGAATACAACTCGTCATACTCAATTCTAGAATACCTCAACCCTCAAACACTGCTGAAGTAAAGTAAACATAACAGTTAAAACAAAATTAAAGTAGTAAACAATATATTATAAATGACTTATTTCATGTATTCGTTTTTTCATTAGGTGTCATCATGTCAACGTCTTCTGGCATTGAATGCGATCCACAATTTATTGTTATTTCTTGGAATTACGGAAGCTTGAGTGAATTCTCATTCGTAAAAATCTATGAGCGTTCGTATTTGAATTGAAATTGATTTTCATCGTGATATCATATACATCTCTCATATGAGATCCTGCCAATTTCACCTGGTAGGTTTTCTGCTTCTATATCGTGGCTTATACTAAGTTGACTCTGATAGCCTTTTCTAACATCAAATTGGCTAATTATACATTGGCGTCTCTTGAGTCAAACAGACATACATACAAAAATACATATAGAGATGAACCCAACTATCTAAAATACATACCTAATGTAACAAACAATACTATCTGGTTGGTTTATGAGGTAGTATGAAAACCAACACGATGGCATTGTTATTATATTTGAAAAGTACTCCTGACTTTAAAGCCGTGTTTATAACGTAGATAGAAGCAGCTTCATTAATTTTAATAAACAGAAAAATATAAATCATTCCAGATTTTTGGGGATTTTCTCACCTCGTTTCTATAAAATAAAAATATGAGTATCATTTCAATATACGTGTAGTAAGGACAAATCAGAGGAATTTGCTCCAAATATGTCACTATCAAAGAGCCTAAAACAAAAATTCACCAGTATAATGATGAATATTTCACCTCCTCAATTAACCTACAGACAGTTTTTTATATAATATCATCATGAAATCATGGTAATATAAAATAATAGAATATTGAGTGAGGACGAATGATAAATTCTTACAAATGCCGAATGAATCTTTGATTTCATTCAATTACGGTGATCTCTTCTCATGATGGACTCCATGTTCATCGTGATCATGTTAAGATTGCTCTGGTTCAAATAATGTGATATGGCAGGCACATAGCAACTATATCCATCTGTTTAACATTGTCATTTGCAACTATTGCATCTGTCAAGTTCTTATAAAAGTCAAAGTAATAATTATTTGAAAAATGGCTAATCGTCGCCGATTGAATAATTGTTTTACGTGTCATTCAGCATTCAATATACAAAATATGGTACGACTTGAGGGAGAACCAAATGAAATGAAGCGAGAAATCGCTATTGAAAGGCGAGACCAAAGGGGGCTTCCACATTCTCGAATTTATGGATCTAACATGTTATTAAAGATATACTGCATCGAATGGTTCAAATTAGTTTTATTGATTATAATGTCGTTATGAAACAGGGTCAATAAGATGGGTCACAAGAATCTGTACATACTACTCTTGAGAAGTTATTAGCAAAGACCATTGATTTTTCATCCACTCCGTATATTTCACGGATTTGCAGAGTGGACATTCATCATAGGTTGTTCAAGTTGAAAGTCATATTGAGGATGCCAATAATAAGTACCCGAGTAAGTACCTAACATGAATGTGACTTCATCAAAAATAAAACATCTTGTATATAATATATCTGATTAGGAGATGCTTATATCACGAAATGGGGATGATATTTGTGTACAACAGAATTTGAATGAAATTCCACCGCACACTTTTCAGAAAATCACTGAATTATTCGCTATGTTCCGACCAACCCTGTATATTGTTGGTACGTGCAGGAATCATTATACTTTATAGTAGATTCGTATCGGTCATTCGAACAATCAATGCACAGTTGATTTGGTTTCGAAATTATGAAAGGTGTCTTCACAATGTCTATCTAAAATTCTTCAAAAGTCAACTTTATCACCCTATATAATCGTAACTGTTGATTTTAGAGCGTTGGTGCAATGGAGACATTTGATCAGCACCACGAGTTCTACAATATATCAAAAATTCGAGTAAATTCACCGAAAGCCAATTTCCCATTGATGCGGTGCGGGGTCCTTTCGTGCTACATTAATGAAACACCCTATAAACATACGCAATTTACAAAAACTGTTGATATAATGATTCATTCCTAAGATAGACGAAATTTTTTTCACCTGGCAATCACCACAATATACTATTTATTAAATCTTCTAATAGACCATATCATTCATCAAAACAATATCAAACACAGATAGTACATAAGCACAACAAAACTGACTCCGGCTCTGATTGAAGAATACGTTAGACCATTGTCTGCTCAATATGGAGAGACAAAATCTAGTGAGCTGTAGTATCTGGTCTGCTCAAACAAGGAAAATGACCTACAGGTTTCTGTGGCCGATACAGTATTGCCGCCATACGGTCAACTCGAGGAACACTTATTTCAATTGTTTTCCTGTCAAACCTACATAACTTGAAAATCGTAAACGAGTTGAGCAGCTCCCTCAGCGGTGCTCTCGGCAGTATCGGCCGGCGGCGCAGTTTGTTCAGTGAGTTTGAGTTCAGTATCACGACATAGTCACTCAGTAACTCGAAAATTAAAAAAATCATTTCTTCTCAAAATGGTTGCTACGGACACTACAATAGTCCCCAATTTCGTAATGTTCAACACCTAAATTAAATAAGAAGTAGAATCAGTAGTATCGATTATTAGCTTTTGATCAGGGCTCTGATTATCTTACTTGTAATGAGCCTGTAACACTCAATATCGAATGTATCCACTTATGTCGCAAAGAAATATCACTTGGAAATACATTAATAGAGACGGTTTCACACTTTCTGGTAGGAACAATTGAGAGACAAAGTTTTGTAACAAATTATCAATCAGAATAAACTACTTCAATACTGGGAGCACAACACAAAACTATATCTATTAACGAAAGGAATATTAGAACAATGAGAATTGAAGGAGAAAGATTTTTTTAGGAAAAAATACAATACAAGTCACGATGACACGACAGCTCTTAACACTGACAACTTACATAACCACAAATTTCGAAAATTTTCTAGAAAAAAGTGAAGATTAATTCGTCCGATATGGCAACATCCTCTGGTGGTCATACACTCAACTGAGCTATAGAGCAGACCAGTAGTTACAGCTCAATATGATTTTTTCTCCATATTTAGCAGACAATGGTTAGATAAATAGGGCTTTGGCCGGTTCCTACAAAGTTGCCAGATGGAATAGTTGGAAAAAGGTATCACTCGACACCCCATTTCATTGAAAAAATCTTCCAAAATGACGTCGAGGCACCATTTTGAAAATACATAATTTTGTTAGAATCAAAATCTAGCATCTAGGGCCCGTTGCATAAAGCATTTGAAAGACAATTAAATATTCAATTTGTCCATATCTATATCCACTTATGCCTTAGCTGAGTTAAGCGTTGATTCCTCATTGAGTTGACAAAGAGCTTTATGCAATCGGCCCTCAAACTACAATTGGACAAAAACAATATGAAAAAATTTTCCCAGCCGTTCAAATGTTAACTAGAGGGGGTGGTGTTACTTTATGGACACAGTGTATAATTCTTCCTGACGGCGAATCTACTGTAATCTCATGATTTTTTATAGATTATATTCGACGATCCTGCTATCCTGAATCACGAAAAGACCACCAATGAAATCAAGGAATGCGTCAAGGACATAAAAGTACTGGGCCGCAAAGAGCTCAGAAACCTCCTGTTATGGTGGAAAACACTTCACGAAGAGTACGCGAAAACGCAAGAACCCGCAGAGGATACGGAAACGCCGGCTGTCACCGCCAAAAACGAAATTGAAGAAGAAGACGAGGACGAAGACTTGAAAGAAGCAGACCAACAGATAGCAGACTTGCAAGGCGAAGAACTGCGGGACCAGAAACGCAAGAGAAAGAAGGTCCAGAAGGAGCGCAAGAAGCTCAACGAGCGACTCAATCTCAAGATGATCCTCAAGAACGATGACGGGCCAACGATGGTTGGCGAGGAAATGTTCGCCTTGAAGCAAGTGACTGATGGGAAGAAACTGAAGAAAATCATGGATCAGAATCCCGATACGGTCATCGAGTCTGAGGATGATAGTGATGATGACAAGGCGCCCAAGTATACAAAATATGAGAAGGAGAAGGACCATTTGGATAGTTCGGGGACTTACTATAAGGATTCGGACTCTGAGATCGAAATGGAAAGTGACGATGAGAACCAGGAAATCAAAGAGGGTCTAGGTAAATCGAATAACATAGAATTTTTGTCTTCAAGGTTGTCAACATCACTGTCAGTTAAAAGCACTGACATAACCTAGTAGTTTCGTCGGTGAGTAAATATCCACTGACATAAACTATCTAGGCCCCAAATGCCATCAGAAAGAAGCTCTGCCACTAACAAGATCAAACTGCACATTTATGTCCTATTATATGTATATCATACTTTCTCTTACCCTTGATTATTCACACACATGATAAACCAACCTTATGAGAGCAATGAATCCAGAAATTCTATTCAGTAGGTGGCGGTTATTTATGTACGGCAAGGTGAACCTACTCTTTGTTGAGTAATGAAGGGTAGGGACCGGTAATGCAGAATACATATATTGGAAATTTATTTTTAGATGTTTCTAGAGTTCCTAAATGTACTTGACACTGCTGTTTTGACGTTTTTTGTATATTAGAGTACGGACACTAGACAAGCAGTGGCAATCAAACATAACCACAAACGATTTTGAAGCAAATCATGTTTTTCCAGACAAGAACAAGAATATGTTTTTCGCTTTGATTTTTGTATGAGAGTGCATATCGTCTCCTCCAGTGGGTGAAAGGGTACGATAATTTGATTAGAAAATTATTTCTTCTCGAAATATTGAATGATATAGCTGAAGGACCTCACTGGAGGTCGATATCAAGTTGGTATGTACCTACATATATATCAACGAAATACATATTCTATTCCTATGAAATGTATTTCATATGTAGGTATATATATACGTTCAGTTGAATATTTTTTTATCACAAAAGTTCAGAAAGAGGTTAAAACTGATAAAATTCAACCAATGAAAAATATTTTCATTTCGTTTGGAACAATTACACTCGTACCGTGTGAACAACTAAGAACGGCTGTCGGCAATATCTCAGCAACGAATAATGATACAAGTTTAAGATAGAATAAATCTAATGGTATGCATATCATTATAAGATGTAATAGAGAAACTAAATCTCAACAGACCAACGAAAACCGCAACATGATAGCTTTTTGCCAACGGAAGATATTAACTATCAAAGTTGGAAGAAAGATAGATATGACAGCCGTTCTTAGTTGTTCACCTGGTACAAGAGTGATAGGTAATAAGTAGTTAATAAATGAACAAATGATATGGCAACAATAACAGCTGATTTCAGTTAGGATAAATAATAAAGGTTTTCCAAGACATACGGAAGTAGGTATAAATGGACTTCAGCGCTCGACTCAATTCAATATCTAATATTATTCAATTTGTTATTCAAATCTTCCATTCGGTTTTTCAAATGCAAAAGTTTTTCATAATATTGTTCGAGGTATTGCTCAAAATTTCCTGGATATTTGCTTGTTCAATTTTCTTGTATTTCTCTGAAGATATTTGCTGATTTTGTTTCAAATCTGAAATAATTTCCAGGTGATAGTTCTGAATTTTGTTAACTCTGACTTTTGTATCTGAATCTTTTTGCTTTAACTTATTTTCCAACTCTCTATTTTTTTCTTCTATTTGTTTCCTGAATTCCTCACTGTTCCACTCGTAAACCTTGGATTTTTGAATATTCCTGCTCTTAAAATTCGATTCTCAAGTCTTTTTCTTTCAAAATATGTTCGAAATGAATTTCATTATCTGCAAGTTTTTCGTTTCTTGTTGGTTCTAAATTAGAATGAGGTTCTTTTCGATACCCGCTCAGTTTATAAATTGTGAGTTCGGCTCTTTCTCTCAATACGATCCTATTATTCAACATCAAATCTTCCGTTCTTAAGTGTACCTGATAAAAATGCGTTCAAAAATGTTCTATATCCTACCAGGAAATTTGAATACCTCGCAAATTTTGTGGCCTGAACCTATATTCCATGCCGGCCGCATCATATTCTGTGTCCATTTTTGTACAATGACGATATCCGATAGAAATTCGAATAGAATGAATTGATTTCCCGTGTTCTCGCAGTTGGAAACTGCACAAACTTGCATATTTCTCCTAATTCTCTCAATTTGTCAAACTTCTGAAATTTACGTCATCTACGTCCGTGTACTGTCAGTTCCCGCTTTTTCCATCAATTTGTGGTTATGTCTGATTGTCAGTGCTTGTCATAGGGTCCGTACTCTGATATACAAAAAACGTCAAAACAGCAGTGTCAAGTACATTTAGGAACTCTAGTGATAGTGAGGTGTATTCAAATGAGCCAATCAGAATTATTAAGACGTGTTCCGAATCCTATATATTTAAATGCCACCCGGTATGTATAGTCTAGAGTCACTGGATGGTTGAGGGTTGCTGGGCTGTGTGCACGTCACTGGATGGTATCTGTTAGATAAGAGTTTGGACACAGCTGAACTTCTGTCCTTTTCTATTTTCTATATTACAATGGTTTGAGTGACTAAAAGAATAAGACATATATTCTGCTCTTTGTTTTTTCAATTCCCCTAGTAGCGCCTGAGTGTCAGATACGCTTTTCTGTCAAATCAATCATTGTCATAGATGGAAAATAGAAATAGGGTACAAACACCCACTTCAATTTACATAGCTATACACTTTTTGCAGGACACTAGTTACAAAAATGAAAAGAATTCACATAACAACATTTTAATATGACAAAATAGACACATATGGAATCATAACTAGTCCTTATTTTATGTAAAACTGCACCCGAGTGATACAGTTCAAAACATGAAGATTGTTTTGATTTTCCACCTTTTGCTGCTTTCACTTTTTACTGATGAATTTTGAATTCAGTCGGTATTGAAAACGCCATTCAATGATATATCACGTTGCAATTTACTTGGTTTCCTCAGTTTCTGAGGTGGTGGTAGTGCTGGTGTTCCTCAAGGATCAATTCTAGCACTGCTTGTTGTGTATGTGGACTGTATAACTTCTATTCGAATTATAATGGTTTTTCAAATGAATTTTATTTGTGGAAATGCGCTAACATTATAAATTAATGATGACATTCATTGTCTTGTATTTTTCTGACATTGCTTCACAATGACGGCTCAGCACTCTCCTAAAATCTTGCATCCATCAGATGAGGTAAATCACAGGGTGCTGAATGATAGGATTTGAGAGCATTCTTGAACAAGCACCAACACTATTTCTACTCCATATCAGCGATTTGTTGGAAGCAACTTCATGTCCAGTACACAGCTTCGCGGATGATAGTACCCTCCATACCGCCTTCTCTTCCAGGGCTCCAATTCCAGCCAGGCAAATCAGAAACGAACGAGGGAGAAATATTGACAACATTAATATGGACTTGGCAACAATTCTCCAATGGCGATCCAATAACTTGGTAGATTTCAATGCAAACGAAACACAAGCATGCCTTTTCTCTAGAAAAGTCGATCTCACTGTGCCCAACATAAGCTTGTCAGGAGTAACCATACCTTTGGAGACATTCATTTTGATGCTTGGGATTACTATCAGCAATAACCTTTCTTGGGAAAATTACGCGAGATCAATTGCTAAAAGTGCATTCCAAAAACTTGGTTTTCTGGTTCGGGCCAGGAGCTATTTTACTTCCAGTCAGCTGCTTATGATCTATGAGGCACCTGTCCTGGAATACTGTTTCCATATTTGGAGTGCAGCACCCAAACATACCCTGAAACTGTTGGATTCTGTCCAAAAAAGGGCAATTCGTCTCGTTGGAGATGCGTCGCTCACAAACTCACTCACTTCTCTGGGACACCGTAGAAAAGTTGGCGATCTGGCTCTATTTTATAGATATTTTCATGGAGGATGCTCTTCTGAAATATCAACAATTGTTCCTCCCTTCGTGGTCATTTTGGAGACCTGCAGAATATCTCTCCAAATACTCGTTCATCCAACGAACAGCGAGGCTCTGAAACACATTCCAAGGGAGTTGTTCGCCGAGGCATATAACCTTAAGAAATTTAAGAAGAACACCAATTCCTACCTTATTTCCTTTGGTTCTCACGATGTTCTCTGAACATTACAGGATATCCCTTTTCGTGGGAACCAGAACACGCCAGAACAGGAAAAAAAAGAAGTACATTTTAATGTATGTACTTACCTCACAAATTTTGCCTGTCTTCAAATCAATCTTCCATTCAGGCCGTTTCATATATTCCTTCCCCATAAAGGAATAATGGTTGATATTTCCTTTGGAATATTAAAGATGAATGAAATCGCCATTTCCTCCAGAATTCCCGCAATTCATTACACAGCTGGATATTTTCATTTACGATTTTTTCTCAATAGTTTATGAAATTATATTTCAATTCTGACGTTCATATAATTTATTGTCAAATTCAAACAATTTTGAATGGAAAAGCGTGAAACGACTATGATACTGTTGTCACAATGCAAGGTGTGTAACTTGATAAATCTCATAGTGGAAGGAGAAGATGGTGTGCTCAACAGAAAGCTCAAACTCGTCTTGTTCTGCGCATGACGTCAGCTGGGATATAACTGTAATTGTTATTATTTGTTTTCGTGATTGATGTCTGGAACTTCAGATATAATATAAGTACTAAAATTGAATAAAATAATTCCGAAATGCCCACTTATTCCGGTTCTGGTTATGGAAATTCCAACTAACATACAAAAGGCACAGATATTGAATTTTTCTGCTTTTCCAAGAATGGAGACCTAAGGAAACGATGGGAGCTTGCTGCCGACAGAATATAAACTCAAATAATGGTACCTAGCTTATATTCCTTATATCCTCATTCCAAAGTATTCACCTATCATATTATCATCACATTCATATTACAGCACGTATTTCTTCAAAACATTTCCATGCAAAATGTTGGCAAACAACTGTGAAAGTACGGTTCTTGAATTACACACCTCCAAAAAATCACAAATATTTGAAACAAGATGCCATTCCTACAAAACATCTTCCATCGAATATCAAGTCAGAAATAATTGAAAATGAATTCAAAACTGTTAATTTCTCACAAAATATTAATTGCAGCAAAGATTTGAATAACAAAACGGAAAAAATTGATACTCCTGTTGTCGATGTCGGAGCAGAAGCAACGTCAACGTCGTTAACTTCTGAATTTTAATCTGTCAGAATCGACACAGTAATGGATCATTCAGATGGGATTGGCAATGCATGATAATTCGTATGTATTTGCTATTTGCGATTGCGAATTACCTCAAGATAACAATTTCCAGAATCAATGAGATAGTAAAATCGAAGGAATAGGTTGCTGTTTATATAAATTGAATTATTTCTAAACAGATCGAGTAACTCATAGAAATTTCAATAAACTTGATTGAATTCATTGCGCACGCCCATGGCAACGGTATCTGTCTGTGACTAGCAGCTGATATTGGTATCCCAGATGACGTCACATAATATGCGCGTAGGCACACCATCTTCTCCTTCCACTATGATAAATCTAAACATTGAAAAACAGTAACTGTTGTAATTTCTGTGTCCGAACTCTTAACTAACAAAAACCATCCAGTTGGGGCCCCTTTATGCAAACTGACGTATTTGTCATCTAACAGGGTACGGACAGATCCTTGCTCCTTTCTCTTTTAATCATCTCGTGTATTGGCGTCCCTGACATGACATTGCTGTCACGTCACATTCATAGGCGTTAAAAGAGATCTTACAAAATTTCAATTTCATACTTGATCTCAATACGATATTATTCAATTCTGTTTTGGAAGGATGGTAATGTGCTGCGTTAGGCTGTATCAATCAGTTGGATGGCAAATTTGAATTTGTCAGCTTTCCATCAAATGCAAATGAAGCTAGAACATGGAAAGTGAAGTGACCGAATGGGAAAATTGGTAAATACATCAGCAAAATATTCGAGGTAAAACTAATATGAAATCACATATTATACTTTCTCATTGTGCCTATAATTATCCACTCCACAAGTTTTTGAATGCATTTTAGTTGGAACATTTTTGTTCAAAACTGAGGATTAAAAGAAGTGGCTTATACCCTATCATTTAAAATATTATACTCACTCACATTCAGGAAATATTGAGTGTTCGTGAAAACCTGCAAAAATGATTCCTTACATGAATATAAACAGCACACATGACATATGAGCACATTAGTTTGAATACCTACATAAAATTTTTCACCATTTCTCAACCATAAGGCTTAGTCTGAAGTCAAAATTCATTTATCGATAGGTACTGCCTAAGAACAGTCCCATTTGGTAAAACGTATTAAACTTTCTGAAAAATTTGCTCACTGCCTCACAAAGATTATGCTGGAGTTTTAAAATCAAAAACTCGAACTTGAATGAGAAATTACATGTGGAAATTACGTATGATACGCCAATGTCTCAATATAACCTAAAAAACAACAAATGTCAGAAATCTACTGTTTATCCCCAGAAATTAATGAAGATGGAAAAATATAACTGTTTCACAAACACTTTAGAGTGAGAGGAGACGAGGATCTGTCAGTACCCTGTTAAAATGACAAATACGTCAATTTACATCAAGGGACTCTAGTATAGGCTATGTATTACTATGCTCGAAAATATAAATGATTTGAATCATTTTAATGGCTAAGTGCCTACTGCTTCAAGCTTTCCCGATCACCAGCCATTAACTGAGCGTTTCTTCCAGGACTGAGTGACGATGATGACGATATCGCACCCAAAAAGAAGAAGAAAGAAAAATCGACCGAGAAATCCTCAGATGATAAGGAACATCCACTCATCACCGATCTTGACTACCGCGACAAAGACAAGAAGAAGGCACACAAAGCGGAATTGTGGTTCGAGAGGGATGTTTTCAAGAATCTGATCGACGAAAAAGACGAAGACGCCGATTTGGACAGGATGGTGGAGAGTTACAAGAAAAAAGGAGCGAAAGTTGTGGGAGAGGATAAGGAAGACGTGCCTACTCCGAAGAAAAGCAAGAGAAAAGCGGTCGCTAAGAGGAAGGAGGAATCGACGGATAGTGACTACGATTCTGACACTGAGGATGATCAAGATACAGATACAGATGCTGATTCTGACTATAATGTGGAGGAGGAAGTTCATGTGCCCGTTAACAACTCGAAAAAAGATGGTTTCGAAATTGTGAAACCGAAAGGTAAGTGTTCAGAAATATGGGTGTTGATCTGTTGATAATAATAATAATAATAATAATAATAATAATATTGATACTAATAATATGTACTCAATTGATTATGACATATAATATACCTATACAATAATATACATTCTGACTAGGCTTGGGAAAAATATCGATATATCGATAACTATCGATTTCTTCTCAGTATATTGAAAAAAATAAATTCATTTTATTTGTGTGTCCCCTAGACGGTTTCATAATACCCAGGCAATAGTTAAAATACTTTTGATTTTATTTGTTAGGTTCAGGCGTGAAAATACATATATTGCATACAAGGGCGTCGCTAGGTTTTTTTCTGGGTGGGGTAATTGGAAATTACATATGACATTATATAAGTATAGGATATTATTATATAATGACTGAAAGGGTGAATAAAAACATATTCGCCACACTCACTCACTCTTTGACATCATTGGAACACCGTAGAAAGGTCGGCGACCTTTCACTTTTCTATCGATACTTCCACGGGAAATGTTCTTCGGAAATCTCTGCTATCATCCCTTCACTAGCAATACCAATCAGGCGAACTAGACAAGCCCAGTCAGCACATCATTTCGTTGTCAACCTCGAAAGATGTTGAACAGAACTTTATCAAGACTCCTTCATCCATAGAACGGCTAGGCTCTGGAATTCATTGCCTGTGGAAGTATTCCCAACAACATATAATCTCCAAAAGTTCAAAAAAAATTCCAATACCTACCTCCTGTCCCTATCCTCCCTAGGAACGCACGATGTTCTTTGAACATTATAGTAATTCCCTTTCGTGCGCTCCAAGCGATAAAAAAATATAAATAATAATAAAAATGATTACAGGTCCTTATGAATTGAGCTCAATCAATCAATCTTTATTTCAATCTTTGCTATAAACATTACATTGCATCTCATATAAATATAAATATTATCATTAACATTTACAATGGAATAACATGAATAATCAGACAGATTCATATCTGGTATGAGATTATTCATGCGTTATCAAATTAAATTATAGTTATTGAAATAAACAACAGAATATGAAAAAAAAAAAAAAAAAACAAAAAGCTCATGAAACGTACATTATGACATGATGAAATAAATTAGTCAATGAGAAATCATTCATTCATTTTGAATTGGGTGATATTTGTGCAACTTTTGATATCATCAGTTTTAATCTTCTCCTGAAGATGCTAACATAGTTAGCGAAACACGTGTCGAGGCGTTAAAAAATCGGTTTGGTTAGTGGTAAAACAGTGTAGTGTACTGAAATCGCTATCAGAAAACGAGCATGTTTAAAATCACATACTTAATGAGTAAAATAAAGACAATTGATTGATATTCTAAATACTAAAATACACTATAAAAACGGTTGAAATTACATTTTTAGTAAGGGAAATACATAAACATAATTGAAACAAGTGACATTGAATTTAAAGATACTTGAACCAAGAAATTCATCTATGGTGTATGGTTATAAATACTCGGGACAGTTAATATATTCATGCCTTTGAATTTTCCTCTGTATGACTGCCTGTAACTGAATCCCACCAAAATTCGTAGAGACCTCTTCTGTACTACGAAAACTCCTTGTGCTTCACTGCTTCTACCCCAGAAGATGATACCGAAACGCAACAGTGAGTGGAAGTTGGAAAAATATACAGTTCACAAAAAGTTATATATTTCGCTGTCACTCTGAAAGAGTAATATACCGAGCTTAGTTTGTGACAGAGTTCATTAATATGAGTTCCCCAATTCAGATTTTGATCAATGTGAATTCCAAAGAACTTTAATTTTACGTTTTGTGTCTGAAGCTGTATGTCCTGCGGTATTTGTTTCCAGACGTTTTTTGTTGTAAAACAGATACAGGCAGTCTTTTCTTTGTTTAATATTTACTAATTTCTAGTAAGCCAGTCCTGAGCCTATTTTAGGCTGTCATTTACTATATCCTAACATTTCTTGTAATGAAGATCCTACCGCTAGTATGTTTGTGTCATCGGCATAATTTACTACATGTGTTTTTTCGTTGACAATTTCTGATGCTAAGTCATTAATATAAAAGACGAATAATAACGGACCCATTACACTTCCTTGGGGTACTCCCACCGACAACTGACCTTCATCGGAAAAGTACTTATTTCATTTCCGTTCCTCTCTATCAATACTTTTTGGACACATTCTGAAAGGTATCACCTTATCCAGCTAAGTGCTGGGCATATAATAATAATAATAATAATAATAATAAAAATGTTTATTGAAGTACAAAATAACAAAAATACATGTAATTAAGAGAACAAACTCAAAGTCTCGCTCCAAGTAAATTATAATCAAATCATATATGCTACATGTTTCGACTCCTAGGAGTCATCATCAGGCTAAAATACAACACTTATAAATGAAAGAAGTTCCATCACTATTGGAAAATGGGTGACATACCTTGCTAGGTAGGAGGAGAAAAGAAACTATAAAATTGAGAACATAGTTCTTGAGGGTTTTAAGCCCAAAATAATTTCAAGCAACATTTTTGAATTTTGGTTTTTTGAACCCCCAAATAAACATTTTTCCTAAGATGCTTCTTTTGGATCAGATAAACATTGTGTACAGCAAATGGCGCGGTTATGAAGTGAACAAACCGACAGACTACTTGATTTGAAAGATAAAAAATTATTATTCGACAAACAAGTGACAAATGTCATCTATCAAAAACACAAAACATTGAAGTTGACTTAATGGACCATACATCAAAATTCATAACAAACAAGGAAATGTGTCTAGATTGACTAAGTCGGGTATTTAAAATTGTGTTTTTTGAATTAGGAATAACAACGTTAAACAAAGGGATTGCCAATGCAACCAATGAATGGAGAGGAAGATTACAAAATGGAATTGAAAGTGGATAGGCAATCAAATCTAACTTGTTCATTAAGACAAACAGTTGAATTTGAATGGGCAGATCTATTGATTTCTAGAATTTCCAGAAGGTTAAGCTTTTTTCCTTTAGGATGAACATGTAGAACTTCAAAATCTTCTACTATATTATGTTTGTGTTTATTCTCGAGAACATGGTTTGCGAAAGAAGATGTAGTGTTGATAATATCAGAGTTAATATATTTGTCAACTGTCTTTTTATGTTCTGCTATCCTGGTGGAAAAAGCTCTCCCTGTCTGACCAACGTATTCTGCATTGCAATCAGAGCATTTGATCTTGTAAACGCCTGACTTAGAATGTACAGGGTTTTTATCTTTGTTATTAACAAAAATGGAACCTAAACTATTATTGGTTTTGAAAGATAAAGAAATGTTATGTTGTGCAAAGATTTTTGAAAATTTGAGGGAATGTGGGCCAAAATAGGACATAGATCTGTATATCCTGTTGGATTTTTCGATTGATGGCAGAAGGTTCCTGTTAATAAATTTTGATTGGTGTTTATAAAAAAGTTTGTTAATTAAATTTAGTGGAAAACCGTTATTATGTGCAATTTGTTTTATTATGTTGTTAAATGAATATTAAAGCTACGGTCTAAATCATGTACAATATCTGCTGTGAAAATCACAAACAGGATAGGGCCCAGAATACTGCCCTGCGCTACACCACGTATCACTTCACGGCTAGATGAGTTTGAATCATTAATTTTCACGCACTGTCTATGAGCACTAAGGTAGTTTTTGAACCAATTGAGTACCTTCTGTTCCAAACCTCTGTTCCAAACCGTAGTACTGTAGTTTGGATATGAGTAATCGATGATTTACCATATCGAAAGCCTTATTATGGTCTAGGAGAACCATATATGTAACCAAAGATTTATCCCAATTTCTAGAAATATTGTTTACAATCTTCAGCAGGGACGTTGAAGTACTATGTAGTTTGCGGAATCCTGACTGGACATTTGGTAAAATAGCAGTATCAACTAAATATTCTGAGAGCACTTGAGCAACACTCTTTTCCCATAGTTTTGACATAACAGGCAGTACATTGATTGGTCGTAGTTGAGAATATTCGACAGCTTTAGGAACTTTTGCTAGAGGATTTATTACTGCATGTTTCTAGACTGCAGGAACTTCGCCAGTTTGAAGGGACTGATTTGATTTATGATTTTTGTCAGAGCTGATTTACAGAAAACATATACATATTTCATCACTTTTAGATTAATTCCATGATTCCATATGCATTAGATTTCAAGGAATACAATATTTTCTCTACAGACTCCTCTGATATAACTGGAAAATATAATGTTATACCGTTCCAATTTTTTCAACACCTATAGCCTTAGGTTTGGAGAAAATATAAGATTATTTTGGGTTGGGCCTGGAAAAAATCTATATATGGATATATCGAACTTATAAGTATGTTTTGACTTATCGATAATCGATAGGTGAAATCCAATATCGTGCAATATCGACTAAATGGCCATCGACCAAAGTCCTTCAGCCTTTAAAATTCTGTTTACATTGGAAGATTTACAATAGAATGGAAATGAGACTTTTTATAACTTTGAAAATAGTAAAAAAAATCGATCAATATTTTGAAATAAATGAATGCAATAGGATTTTAGGATAACACAAACATATATATTTGGATTAGTGCCTCATGCTCCTATTATTTGAAATTATTTCAAGTAGTGTTCTTTCTGGGTATTTGCATTTTGGTATACTTCAAGTCTTGGGATCTTCAAGGGTTTGACAAATTCCATGTTATTGGGTTTTGAGGCAAATTTCCTGGTGATTGTCCTCAGTTCTCAGTGTCTTGTATAGGTTGCACCTTGGTTCTTCTGTAAAGTAGGTCGTTTGATGGGTTATGTAGACTATTATTAGGGTGTCTCATTTTCGAAACTGTCTGGAGTGCAGCAGTTTCATCAACTTTGAGGTTTTTCAGAGCTGGTTTTCTGCAGTTAATATATACTGGATGTCCGTATTCGATCATTGGTCTGATTGATTTTTAGAGTTTTCTTGCTTTTATGGTATTGATACCTTGGTTTTTTCATGTTACAGCTCTGAAATGTTTTTCTCTAGTTCTTGCTTGTGCAATATAGTGATTAAAGTTGAGTTTATGTTCTAGATTCATTCCAAGATATTTGTCGGAGGTAATCGGGCGTAGAAGGTGGTTGTTTATGTTTATGTGGGGGTGGAGAAGGGATATGGCTGTATATGGTAAATTGGCTCTTTGAAGGATTTCCTCGTAGTCTCTATTTACTAAGCCACGTCTGAGTGTTGTCGTACATCATTTGGTTTTTCTGGGCAGTAAATATCAATTTCCTTAGAGATTTCAGCAATAATTTTCAGCAGATCTTTTGTACAAAATATTTGTGTTATTGGAGGCTCTTTTATACAGTTACTGCTTGCCGGTGTAATCTGTAGCTTCAAAAATTGATTATTGATACTCAAAATTTTCTTACATCAGCTTGAGGGTGGCTTGTTCTACATTTCAAAATTCGTGGCAATCCTATATAGTTCCCTAATATGCAAACATTCGTCTCCGAGCATACATAAAAGGGTGTTTTCTGGGTGTGCGAAATACTCGTTGACCTGAATAATTTTGTCAACAATCTGCTTTAAATTTGGAGGTCGGTATCGAGATCTCTGAATCAAATTGAATAAATACAGTGAACCATACTTCATATATGGCTAACCAGGTTGTTATATTCCCTTTCAATATATAGTTTCTTCAAATTTTCATTTCTTCATTATTCCTACTTTGTATATTATATTTTGTAAACTGGGCTGAAAGACTTTGGTCAATGGCCTTTTGGGGTATATCCCTAGATTTTCTCTCCCGCCAATATGGCTTTTTCAGAACGAGCGATACTAGTAGTGCAGTTGTAGACCTTACATGAAAATTACAGTTGAAAGTTGACAAGAAACTAAAATGTGCTCTTGTATCCCTTGATCTATGTAAGGCTTTTGATACGGTGAACTATGAAATTCTGATGAAAAAATGGAGTTGATTGGTGTCCAGGGTCACTGTAGCAGCTGGTTTCAGAACTACTTAACCAATAGAATGCGATTTACTTAATCTAAAAGAATGTAAAAGTGATGACACAAATTTGAAATATGGTGTACCACAAGGCTCGATCCTGGGCCCCGCTCTCTTCCTAATATACATCAATTCTATAGCAAACTTGGAAATTATTGGAGATGTTATACTATATGCTGATGATACCAGAATTGCATATTACGGTAAAACTCATAGCACAGTGATCGAGAATATCAAACGAGATTTATCACAGCTGACAAAATGCCTACTCTGCCACAAACTTACATTGAATATTAAAAAATCATCTTTTATGTGGATAACCAGAAGCACTGTACCTGATTATGTTAAGAATGAAATAACTTGTCAAAGTGGATCACTTCAATATAAAAATAAAATTAAGTTCTTGGGACTGATAATTGATACAAAATTATCCTGGAAACCACATCTAGAACATATTAGACAAAAAAAAATGTTGGGCCTCTGGGTATTCTGAAAAGATTAAGCTACTCTGTCCCAAGTTACATTCTGAGATCTGTGTATTTTTCCCTAATTCATTCACATTTGCAATATCTGACAATAATTTGGGTAATACATATGAGAGTTATTTGAAACCACTTAAAATCTTGCAGAACAAATCAATTAGTAACTTATATAAGCTGTCATCACAATATTCAACTTTGGAGAAGTTCATATACTTTTCAAGTCAATGTATTCATACATCAGATAGTAAATAGTGCTAGACATTCACAAATTACATTCCAATCTAGAAAGGAAATTCACGGATATAATACTCGAAACTGTAGACATTTTCAAGTCCCAAGAGTAATGACGAACTATGGAATCAGTTCAATATTTTATGAAGGAGTTTCCGAGTACAACAAAACACCAAGGTGTAAAAAATTGAAAGCTTTGTTGAAGTCTCACATTCCACTGAAGTTATGATTTGTACAGTTAGCATTAGGATATTAGGAGGTTGGATTCAAAAGGAAAACAATTAGATACCTACTGGTATATAGCATATATTATAGTTCAGTTAAAAAGGTTGCCCATATATTACTATTTTACAAACTAGGGTATATTCACTGAATTGATACAGGTTTGAATCAATAATCTAATTATTATGTCCGATATTATGTTATTTGTAAAACTATAATGGCTTGTAACTAGTAAGAGAGGTGTTCCTAGATGACATTTTTATGTTTTTTGTTACGTAATATATTCATTCATTTCCGGCGGGATAGAAGGACACCCGACTGCGATTTTACTAAATATACTGCACGCTAGCACAAACCACGCCCACCATAATACGTCATATCTCCAAACATTACCGATATACTCGGAGTCAGCACATCGCACTAAATATACTGTGCTCCAACGCAAGAATACACTCTTTATGATTTTGACACGAATTCGACTGAAGCTCTCTCGTTGTCAATCTCTTGTACGCAGTAAATTCATATACCCAAATGGTCTACTGGTTAGCGCTGTCGACTTTCAGTCTGAAGGTCCATGGTTCGAATCGCTATGAACTTGAACTTTTTTTGCAACTTTTTTTTTTCACCAATGTTTTTTTACTTCATTCTGGTTTTCCTTTTTCATAAAATATTTGAAGTCAAATAGGTTAGTGCGTTTAGGATAAACAGTCTCATTTTATTCAATTTTGTTGAAGAACTCAAATTTTGAAATATATTATTAATCAATGTGTTTCTACACTCCCTTCGGTTTTCCTTCCTCAAAAATATTGCAGTCAGGGCTAGATTAGTTCGTTAAGGATAAATAGTCTCTGAGTTTTGCCTAAGTACTTCGAAGATGAGATATTACGGTGGGCGTGGTTTGTGCTAGCGTACAGTATATTTAGTAAAATCGCCACCCGACTTGTACGAAATGGTAAATAACTTGCAGAGAATCGGTGTCTTGCAAATTCAAAAGTTTAGGAGGAGGATACTGTATTGGGGAAGTTACTAGTCTTTATCGTTTCAGTGAGCCACTTTGCACTTTAGTCTTTTTGTTGTATCAACTGATATTGACCGATCTTCTTCCATCAACGGTGGAAGATGGAAATTACTTTTTGCTTTTTGTGCAAGCAAATGACCAAAAATATCCTAATTGAAGCCATTTCTCAGTGTCCGGCAAGAAGCACAAGCTGAATTCCGAAGATTTAGCTCTGGGCACAATGATGGTCAACAGTAAGAAGGCGAAGAGAGATTTGGTAGATGCCGCATGGAACAGATATACCTTCAACGATGATAACCTGCCTGATTGGTTCGTGAAAGAGGAAGAAAAACATATGAAGAGGGAAGTTCCAGTCCCAAAGGTGAATATTTGAATACTGGTTACCAGGAAATTGAGGAAATGCAGATTCCTGGTCTCAAAATTGCTGAATTAGACAAAAGTTTTTGTTGCATTTAGGGAAATTACAGTTAGGGCTCAATCCAAATCGAAATTCATAGAATTATACAGGGTTCATAAATAATTCATAATATATGAAAATTTATTTAGAAATTCGACTTGGACGCTAAGTTTTGAATTTGAAAAATATGAAAAATGGCCTACTCGGTCGTGATTGGGCTTGATTGTTTGAATTTGAAAATATCTGAGACGATTTTTATTCTTCAGGAATTAGTGGATGAGTATAACAAACGATTAGAGGACATAAATGTACGACCAATAAAGAAAGTTATTGAGGCAAAGGCGAGGAAGAAGAAGAGGGCAATTAAAAAATTGGAAAGGGCAAAGAAGAAAGTGGAGTCTCTCATGGATAATGCTGATGTTACCGACAGGGAGAAAGCTAAACAGATAAAACAGTAAGTTGTTCAGACCAGTGGCGGCTCCTCAGAGGAGGCAACGGAGGCTGAGCCTCCTCAGAGATTCTCCTTAAACTGATATTATCTATACTTTCTCATTGAAAGGGCACCAAAATACATTTTTGATTTTATTTCCTGTCCTTAGGTGAATATTTTTGAATTGGCAACAGTGCTTGCCCACGCATCACACCTTGAAGTCTGCAAATCACGCGTAAAATATTCAACTTGGCAACATCTATAGGAGGCTAGACTCCTTCACCATGCGCAACTCACGCGCGCAATGCAAATGCCCGAATAGCACGTGTTTGTCGTGTCGTGTCGCGTCGCGAATTGCGGACAATCCAGCGCGAGTGCATTGTTTATGTTTATGTTAGGTTAATGGTTAGGGGCTCTATAAATTTCTGAAAAATGAGTGTTTTGAACGATTGCGATTTAGTGGAATACTTTTTGGTGAACCCATTCAGTGCTTTGTCTTATGAAGATAAATTGATTGTGAAAAACAAACGTCTGACACCGGAATTAAAAAATCTGATTTTAACAGGTAACAAACAAAATCGTTCGTTCAATTCTGATAATTATAAAAAATATATCTGGTTGACGGGATCTGAGGTAAGGAATAAGCTATTTTGTTGGTACTGCCTATTATTTTCAACCGATAAGTCATCATGTTGGGTGCGATTAGGATATAATGATTTGAAAAATTTGCCTCGCGGATTGGATAGACACTGCAAATCACAGGAACACATATCTTCAAGTATTAAGTTCAGGTTAACTGGTAAACAGAATGTCATTAAAGCCATTGATTTGGGTGAGTCGTAGAGAGTTGTTTTTCACAATAAATCTCATATCATTCAGCCTTCTCTGTCATGAAAGTCACGAGCCGCCACTGGTTCAGACCATTTAATTTCTATGGACTGATTTACTATTTCTTTTGAGACCTATAACATGTCACTGGAATAGGCATGGTTTAGAGGAAAATTTCACTGGATTATTCAAATGTTCCATGATGCCTATGCAAACATTGAAGATACATTATTTGCTGTGAAGATAAAATACTCTGAATCTTTTTGACAAAAACTGAAACCACTGACAAGCTCTGTACCATGAGTCAGCGTCAATCAAAAGCTACCATATCGACATTATCCTCATCTTGATTCCCAAAATAATAAAGGCTGTCAAACGCCCTCGGTCCGCTATCATTGCACAGTGAACTGGCACCTGGCAGTTGCAGGTGGCTGTTTCACACTGTGGAGGAATCCCTAGATTGTTCAGTGGCGTTCCATTGCAGATTTCAATTTGAATAAAAATAAATGTCAATACATTTTTTCGGATTGCTCAAGTCAAAAGTATATCAATATTCTATCGGATAGCCCTGAAGGCTATGGCATTTTTTCCGAAAATTTTCTGAAATAAATATGTGGCCTATAAAAACAAATAGTTATGAGGACATTACACGCGATTTTTACATCAACAGAAAAGAAGCCAAATGAAACGAAAAGTAAACCTATCGGTGATACCAACTTTGACCTCACGAATCAGTAGCGTGATTTGGTGGACAATTAAAATATGATAGCTCTCAGGAGGGACAATATGATTGAAATAACCGCAAAAAAATGAAAATATTCCATTTTTCACCTTGATTTTCTCACAGAAAATAAGTTGAGATAAAAGAAAATTGATGGCAATTTTCGCATTGACTTACATGCTTACAGAGGGAAGAAATAGGGAAAATATGATTGAAAGAACCTCAAAAAATCAAATTCCAATCAATTTTTTGCCTTGATTTTCTCAAAGAAAATAGGTTGAGATAAGGGAAATAGAATACCGGGTGCCCCAAGTTAATGTATTCACAATATCTCGATTATTTGACAGTTAATAATAATAAAAAAAACTGCTCTGAATGGCATCAAAGTACCTTCCTAATAACTTATACATATATTATGTTTGACAGCTCTGTGGTAGCTACCCGTCACTTTTATTTCATATTGTCATTGAAAATTGTGTGTCATTCTACTTGGAAGACAATGATAACACATATTTGGTATTTTTTTATTAATAAAAAAACTCAATATGTTGTGTAACGTCACAGATGAAAAAATGTGCCCGTCCATGTTTTTATAAACTCAACAGAATAGAAGTAGATTATCTTTCGTTTCAAAAAACGATGTTATGTCAAAAAATTGATGACAGTTATTCTATTTCAAAGTTATGAACATCAATCATTTGCAAATAGTACCTAGTATGATTAATCTATTTCTAGTCTGTGAAGTTTTCAAAAACATGAACAGAGGCAATTTTTTATTTAAGTATCTAACGTAAAAAAGTCAAGAAACAAAATATTATTGTTTTTTTTGTAATTAATAAACAAAATACCAAATATGAGCTATCCTTGTATTACAACTAGAATGACTTGCAATTTTCAATGGCAATATACAGGGGGTGCCATATGAAATTGAAAAATTAAAGGTAGCTACCACAGGGCTGTCAAATGTAATAACTTTCTTATGAGTAATTAGGAAGCTACTTTGATTCAAAGTAGTTTCTTCGTTTTTTAATTATCTTTTCAAATAAGCGATATATTGCCTGTATACCTTAATTTGGTACACCCGGTTTATACATTGACTCACATATACCGGGTAACTATTTTGTACTTGTATGTAGTAATAGTCTTTATTGGCCATATAAAAATACATAGTACAGATGGCAGGTCACAGATGCACAAGCAAAATACATCAGATTAGATTTAGAATGGGGCCTTCGGGCTATCTGCCTCCACACCGCGACCTTTTCAGATCTATTGTGTCTGCCCTCAAAATCGATTAGAGTTCTTCGGCTAGCCCCGCCTTCTCTATGAGACTCCATAGGCTAGCTTTCAGATCCCCTGTGTATCTTTGGGCTTCTGGTTTTTCCTCACCCAGCGTAAGGAACCTTAGTCTTGACAAGCTGTCACAGTGGCTAAGTATGTGTACTGCTGTTTCCTCTTCTTCCTGACAGAACCTGCTCAGCAGTTCTTCGGTCAGACCTATCGTATTCATGTGTTTGTTGAGCCTACAATGCCCTGTGAGAAGTCCCACTAGTATTCTAGTTGAACTTCGTTTCTGTCTCAGTAGATATTCTGTGAATGTTGGCGATGGTTTTTTAATAAACTCTTTTGCCTGTCTCATACCTTGCGAGTTGTTCCACCATTCTTGAGATTTGGTTTGCATCCATGATTTGATACTAGTCTTTTGTATAGCTTTCGCAATACCACAGAAGGGTTCTGGACCATTCAGAGCTTTGTTTGCTCCTGCTTGGGCAAGTGAGTCTGCCTCTTCATTGCCCTCGTACCCTGTATGTGCTGGTACCCATGCTAGAGTCAGTCTGTTCTGACTGCCCAGTTCATTTAGGGTTTCTATGCAGTCCCATACTAGTTTTGAGTTAACTTGCATAGATTTGACTGCTTTGATGGCCGCCTGGCTATCTGAATAGATTGCAATGGTTTTGCCTTTAAACTCTTGCCTTATCAATTCTTTCACGCAATGATGTATTGCAATAACTTCTGCCTGAAACACCGTCGTGTATTTACCTAAGCTCAGTGAGATTCGTGTCTTTGGCTTGGCCCCATGAATACCAGCTCCTGATCCTTCCTATAGTATTATAGATAAAAATTATAAAAATTGTGAGTATAATAAGCTGGGTATGATAATAATTACAACACATAATATGCAATAATAATAAAAAAACGTAAAAATTACAACACTAATGGGATACGAAAGATTTACAAACCTCTGTAAGAAATTAATTCTTGAATAGAATAAAAACCGTTTTTAATGAGGAAGTATTTCACCTTTGATTTAAAAATGTTGTAGCTATCCAAGCTTCTTAGGTTCTCTGGTAAAGCATTGAAAAGTGTTATGCAGTTGAAAATGGGAGATTTTTTGAAAGTTGAAGTATTATATTTAGCAATAGACATTTCAGTGCATCTATTATTGTATCTATGAATATCTATGTATAATATGTATATTGTGTATGTATCCGTATTATAAATAACTGTTTCTTGGGGGTGATAAAGACAATCAATATACTGTAGAAAACACAAGAGATTAATAATCAAAAGTAATGATAGTTCTAAAAAATGCATGGGTGTTACTATTCACGTGTGGTATAATCTACTATTATATGAAATTTGAATGAAATTTGAAATGAAATTTGAAATTTATTTATTACCAAGTTAAAAACAGTTCGTTTAACATCGTTATCATTGTAATCGATGTTTTCAGGTTGTATAAGAAAGCGAGACAAGAACCCAAGAAGGAATTGACCTATGTGGTCACCAAGAAGCACATGGCAGCCAAGAAAATATCGAGGCCGAAGGGGGTAAAAGGGCATTACAAAGTGGTAGATAAGAGAATGAAGAAGGATTTGAGGGCACAGAAGAACAAAATGAAAACGATGGGGAGAGGCAAGAAGGGACAGAAAGGGGCAAAGAAAAACAACAAGAGTAGTGGAAATAAAAACAAGGCACAGGCTAAATGAGTTCTTCTGTGATAAGTTTTCAATGGTGTTGTTGAGAATGTAAAGAGTTTACTTATAGGAAATGAAATATTGAGTAAAAAATGGAAAGTTACACACAGCACCTACCTACTGGATTTTCTTAAATTTGACTCCTCAAAGGACTGGTGAATATTCTTTTTTCTTATGGAAAATATTGATTGTTTTTCTATAAGTGAGACCAGTAAGTTGGTGCAACTGTCAACATGTTTATATTTCATGAAATGGTTTATTTTGATCAGAATTTACCATTGACAATAACTTCAAATTATTTTTTTCACACAATCCATTGACTTTTCTTAAGTTGAATTTCAATAGGATCTATTATTATTTTGATGAAAATTGAGAGAGGTCATGTAATTACGGAATATTTCGCTTATATATTGAAAAATCGTTTGTGAGATATAGGGCAAGATTGAAAATGTTGCATTTGGGCAACCCTCTGTATCTTAGTTATCTCTCAACTTATATTAAAAGTAATAACTGCTTCTGTAATAATGTATATCTTTTGATATTTAAAACACGAATTTATAGCGAATTCCATTGGCAGGAACTAGTGGAGTGTCTCCACTGAGTGTATACAGTGTGTCCCACTTACCATGCTCACCATGGGTATCTTTTTGATGGTGAGAGATACGAAGTCGGTTAAATGACACCAAATGTGGAGTTTTTCAATGCCAACTATAATGTGAAAAAATATTTTGATAAAATTTATTCATTTTTGTTTTATACGCAAAAAACAGATTTTGATCATTTTCATGTCTCCTCCGTAACTTCTTCATTTATGAAAATATTCAAATAGGAATTTCACATCCTCATGGCAGTTTTTCAAAGTGATTTCGAAAAAAATATGAAATTTATACCAACTCTTCTAGAATTTGAGATATCGGCACCAACTTCAGTTTTTCAAATGTAGGTCATAGCTAACTATGACTTAGTTACAAATAACTTTTTTTCCTCTTACAGATGATATGTCGCAGTAATAGTTTTGTGTTGGTAACAACGGAGTTATCGTCATTTATACAAAAACAAAAAATTATTCGGAAGCCGCCTTCTTGAATTTATAAATTTTAACAAAAAAATCATGATCTCCGACCTCAAAAACCCCCACTTACCAATTTTGAATGGAATCGGACCAAATCTTGTCCGCCATCTTGGAGCAGCCATTTTTTTTAATTTCAACAAAAATAATGTATTGTCACCGAAATTATGAACACCAGCCAAATTTCAAGTTAATCGGAGTTATGGAATTTTTGTTGAAATTAAAAAAAATGGCTGCTCCAAGATGGCGGACAAGATTTGGTCCGATTCCATTCAAAATTGGTAAGTGGGGGTTTTTGAGGTCGGAGATCATGATTTTTTTGTTAAAATTTATATATTCAAGATGGCGACTTCCAAATAATTTTTTGTTCTTGTATGAATGACGATAACTCCGTTGTTATCAACACAAAACTATTACTGCGACATATCTGTAAGAAAAAAAAAAGTTATTTTTAACTAAGTCATAGTGAGCTATGACCTACATTTGAAAAACTGAAGTTGGTGCTGATATCTCAAATTCTAGAAGAGTTTGTATAAATTTCATATTTTTCTCGAAATCACTTTGAAAACCTGCCATGAGGATGTGAAATTCCTATTTGAATATTTTCATAAATAAAGAAGTTACGGAGGAGACATAAAAATGATCAAAATCTGTTTTTTGCGTATAAAACAAAAACGAATAGATTTTATCAAAATACTTTTTCACATTATAGTTGGCCTTGACAAACTCCACATTTGGTGTCATTTAACCGACTTCGTATCTCTCACCATCAAAAAGATACCCATGGTGAGCATGGTAAGTGGGACACACTGTATTCACCTCTGTTAAACCCTTACCCCCGATACTAACAAGGCCTGAAGGCTCGTAGTGAACAGCTCGTGACGTCAGCTAACTGAGGCCATCCATCCTTCGCGTGTCGACTGTCGTCAGTTTGTTTAGGTATGTTTGAGAAGCGATCGCGTGCCCGAATTCTTTTGTTGTTTATTCATCAACATAATTGGCGGAAAATTACTGTTTTATGAAATATTTTGTGTTGTGATAGGCGAAATAACAATAGTCCAATAAATAAAGGGAAAAAGTTAACATTAATTACGCACTATTTTCATCTTCCGGTTGGAAGTAGCTTTTGGTACCTCATTAAACATGAGACAAAGTTTGACTGGAAAACGCGTGCGATGGCGGAGAAAATGGCCCCAAAAGAACAGAAAAATAGGTTTTCAGCCAATATCTCCTGAAATATGGCAGTTAGAGATTTTCGGTTCAGATAAAAATTGAAGTTCAATTAATTTTTTACAAAAATGGTCCTTATCATTTTTCTCGAAAATTTTCCCGGTTTCGAGAAAAACGGCACGAAGCGCACCTCGAATAATGAGCTTCTGTGTTGTATGCCGGAGAGCACAGTCCGTGTATTTACACATCGGCGGGGGGACAAATTATTCAATAACTTTGTTAAAAATGCATATTTTCTCATGATTCAAAGTTCATGTGAAAGAGGAATTCTGCTGTTATCATACCCTGTGAATTGAGTCACGCTTGACTCTTTTGGCCGTATCGGAACATGGGTCAAACTTTCTGCTCCCGGTCAATTTTGACCTCGCCAGGAATTTGTTCCTATTTTTGTATTGCACTAATTTACTCAAAATTTTCTTGATTATGGGTCCTCATAAGGTCCTTTGTCATCCCTGAAATTTGTATACCCTAATTTTTTTTAAATTTTCATTTAATCTTTGTTTATTGAATCCCAATTTTTTGCTGTTTTTGGAGCGCGGGGAAATTTTGTGAACAACCATCAATTAAAAATTAATACATGATCCGATTGGTTTCTATGATACATCATTTGAAAGCTAAGAAGGTCTACTTTTCGATTGTGCAATTACTTTTTTAGACAAAGTCGTCCATTTTTCAATAAAATTAGAAAAAGCGGGGTCAAGGAAAAAAACGCACTTTTTTTTTTCGGTGGTTTTTTTCTCCGTGCTCTTTATTTCTAACATTTTAACACCTTAACTACTGTAACGGGGAATTCCCACCTTTCCATCGATGTATATAAGTCATACCTTTGATATCCCGGGAAAAAACAGTATATCTAAATGTACACACTATAATTTATTACTTTCGTTCCTCCGTCGTTCGCCGTGTGTGTGCTCTACGTGGCGCTCGGGTCGTCTGCTACAAACCATGCGGCCACGCAGGGTATGATAGCAGCAGAATTCCTCTTTCACATGAACTTTGAATCATGAGAAAATATGCATTTTTAACAAAGTTATTGAATAATTTGTCCCCCCGCCGATGTGTAAATACACGGACTGTGCTCTCCGGCATACAACACAGAAGCTCATTATTCGAGGTGCGCTTCGTGCCGTTTTTCTCGAAAACGGGCAAATTTTCGAGAAAAATGATGGGGACCATTTTTGTAGAAAATTAACTGAACTTCAATTTTTATCTGAACCGAAAATCTCTAACTGCCATATTTTAGGAGATATTGGCTGAAAACCTATTTTCCTCGTCTTTTGGGGCCATTTTCTCCGCCATCGCACGCGTTTCCAGTCAAACTTTGTCTCATGTTTAATGAGGTACCAAAAGCTACTTCCAACCGGAAGATGAAAATAGTGCGTAATTAACGTTAACTTTGCCTTTTTTTCCTCCTTCATTTATTGGACTAATCTTATTTATCGAAAGATGTAAAATAACGCACAAGTCGTGATGAAAAACTTGAGATACTAGAGACTAAAAATTTGGCAGAAGCACTTATCAAAAGTAAAACTGAATTCGAAAATTATCAAAAATCAATTTGCTACACAGAATAATTATCGATTTGCAAAAATTCACATCATTCAAATTGTATTATTCTCGAGGGCCCGTAATTACATATTCGGTTGTGATTGATTCTGTTTTGAATGTGGAATCATTTTTGTATGGCCTAGCGATATTAACATCTCTAAAAGACAATCTGAAAACACCTTTTATGTCTTGATAATGAGAAAAAGGGGGTTTTGAAACATATTTCGAATGTATTGGACTCTTTGGTTTCGGATTCGGTTTCAGATCTTGATGAAGATTCCGAAAACACTTCAGCTTCATTATTCCTCTCTGAGCAAATTAAATTACATACATCCTGCAAAGAAAGATATCTTTATTTCATACTGCATCATAGAACATACCTTTACGTACCTGATTTCAATCCGGAAAATAAACTTTTACAGGATAGGCGCACGTAATATTTCATTACGTGCTACTATCCCGTAATGAAATTTTACGGGATTGTAGCATCAATACATTAATTGAAAATTCAACATCAAAACAATACAAAGAAATTACTTATTGCTAATATTAATATCAACCGTTAAATTTTCGTTCCCATGAATATGGATACCAGGAGCTCCATTGGATGAATTATTTATTAGGGAGTTGCTACTTGCTGATACATTCCCATTTTTTTGTTGTAGCACTTCAACAAAGTTTTCTCCATGTTGAATCATGCGAGATACCCTGTTTTTCCCCTCGATCGAATCCTCGATATATTTTTCCGCCACCGAAGAGCTCTTCCATCCCCCGTGTCTCTTAAGTACCAGAAGATCGGCTCCAGCATCAGCCAGTATTGTGGCAGATGTTCTTCTAAAGCAATGCCCCGTAAACTTATCTGCTTCAGGCAGCCCCAGAAATGTCGCTATTTTTTTGGGAGCATCTGCAATAGAATGAATGCCTACCCTTTGGGAAATGCACCTGCCTTTACGATATGCAATGAAAAGGTCCTCTAGGCCTACATTCTTCGGTCGTCATTTTAAATGTCATAATTTTTTATAATCCTGATTAATCACGGTGAATACTCTTCTTTGGTTTGTTTTGGTTTGGGGAATAGTTACGACTAGCTGTGTGTCCAGTATCCTCTATATCCTTCACTTTCATTGCGTAAAGCTCCCCCCGACGGCATCCACCCTTGATTCCA